TTGTGATGGTTGTGATAATGATGATACTGATGGCGGTGGTGGTGATGATGATTATGACGATGCTGATGATGATGATGATGATGATGATGATGATGATGATGATGATGATGATGATGATGATGGTGCTGGTGCTGATGATGATGATGATGATGATGATGATGATGATGATGATGATGCTGAGGCTGAGGCTGATCATGATCATGATCATGCTCATGCTCATGATCGTGGTGGTGGTGATGGTGGTGATGACTATGGCGATGAGCAGGAGGAGGAGGAGGAGGAGGAGCAGGAGGAGCAGGAGGAGGAGGAAGAAGGCCGTCACATGTAACACCTTTCGTCTTCACTCATGGAGGAGCTCTCATGGGACTCTTTTGGGCCGACTTGGGGCTGTCTTGGTCTCCGGTGAGGCAGTCTTGGTGGTCCTTGGGGCCATCTTGGGCTGTCTTGGGGCCCACTTAGGCCGTCTTGGGGCTCTCTTTGACCGTCTTGTCGCCCTCCTGGCCGTACGGTTGGTGTCTGGGGGCCGTCTTGACGCCGTCGTGGGCCGTCGAGGGGCTTTCTTAGGCCGCCTTGGGTCCCACAGGAGGCCCTCTTGGGTAGTCTTGGGGCCGTATTGGATGCCTTTTGGGTCCCCGTGAGGTTGTCTTGGCCCACGTGGGAGCCTCTTGGGCCGTCCTGGGGCCATCGTGGAGGCTTCTTGGGCCGCTTTGAGCTGACAGGAGCCCGAAAAGGCGAGAATGCGGAAATCATGCGAAAATCAGAAGAAATCAATTATTTTGACAAGAGCGCACAGTCACGTGAAAACCTTTCCGCGCCAAGGCCACGACGCTCTCCAGTGCTCAGTTGCCTTCCTTCCGACGCCAACACTTACGCATGATGACCCTATGTCAAAACCGCTGCCGCGCAAACAGCTGCAACAGCCCTGTGCCCATGCCCAAACGTCCGTTCCACAGAAATTAGAAACGTTCGTTCCGTTCCCGTGCCAACCCAGGTTCTAACACGCCCACATCTTGCAGCCACGGTGGCGGAATGCCCGAAAACCAGCGGGGGCGGGGCTGGGCTCAGCGGGGACGCATCGGTCCTCAATCGCCAATCGCCGATGGAACCCGATATCCCGCCCCGCCCATGAGCGTGCGGATGAGCTATCGGGGGCCTGTCGCCGATCTGTACGCGATGTATCGCCGATTCCAGTTCAATGTTTCGCCCCGTGAACTGGGTTCCCCCCAGCGTTCCCCTTTCAGGATCGAGGTTCCCAGACCTCACTTCGTCGTGACAACAATCGCGACGGGAGGTTTTTGGCAGTTTAGCTGTACCGACTAGACGTAAAGAGTGACCTTTCGCCCGAGCGACCTTTGGCGCGGGCCCGATCGCTGAATGCGATGCGATGGTAGCGGCTTGCGCGCCTGGTGGTGTCCCCAAAGGGCCCCCCCTTGGCCGCGCACTGAAGGTCACCCTTGCCCAGGGTCACTCTTACGTGCACCCGATTGTATCAGCCCGCGGGGGCCCTGGCTGGGCCCTCGGGTCCGTCAAACAAACAGCCCGGGATGGACAGCCGGTCCCGGGGAAGGGGGCCAGGTCTCGGGTGGTCCAACAGAGGCGGCCAAGCAGGGGGTGATGCACAGGGGGGGGGGGGAAATCATGCGGGGGCCATGCTATGTCCCCAGATTTCATGGCCCCTTCCCAGACATGATCGCGTCGTAAACCAATCACGGCGGGAGGTTTTTGGTCACTTTCGGTCGCCGGGGGCCCTCGCCGGGCCCTGGGGACCGTCAGAGAAGATTCGGGATGAAAAACCGGTCCTGGGGCAAGGATCGGGGCTTCCGGGGACGCCGCACTGAAAAAATCAGGACGTCACAGGTCTGGGTTATCAAGGGCTCCCCCGAGGGCGCGAAGTTATTCGCGCTTCGCGCTTCGCGGTCCTCGTTCCTCCTCCCCCTCCTCCTCGTCCTCCTTTTCTCCCTTTGGGGGGGCGGCGCGAGAGCGCGAAGTTATTCGCGCTTCGCGCTTCGCGCAGCGCGAAGCGCGAAGCTGGGAGCCCTTGGTTATACAGTAGGGGCCCGACCACAAGAGACCTTCCACAAGCCCAGCCCTGAGACCCCAGGGACGTCCCTGGCTTTCTGGTGTGGGAGCGCCACGCCCTCCATCGCAGAGCCATCGGAACCCAGGAAACCCAGGGCACCCTGGAGGAGGCAAGCCGGGTGTTTCTTGGCATGGGTCTCCACTGCAAGGCATCCGCGCAGAGCTCCGAAAGCTGATACGTTCATGCAGCTTTCTCCTCCTCGATGGGCGGCGCGGACCCGCCGAACCCTCTGGGCGGCCGAGGGGCGGGGGGCAGGCACTCCCGAGAGCGGAACTCCGACGTCGTGGTTCTGCCGTGGCGTTCGGGGGGGGGGTTCAAGCAGGGGGGCGCGCCAAGAGGGGGCTTCGCAAGTCATGGCCCGAGGCACGTGTGCTGTCCAGGGGGGGGCAGGGAGGCGCATGGAAATAAGCAGAAAGGGCCATGAAATCTGGGGAAGTATCCCCAGACCTGCGACGTCCTGATTTTTTCAGAGCGGCGTCCCCGGAAGCCCCGATGTGTTTTCCGGGACCGGTTTTTCATCCTAAATCGTTGTTTGACGGTCCCCAGGACCCGGCGAGGGCCCCCGGAGGCCGAAAATTGCCCAAAACTTCCCGTCGCAACTTGTGTACGACGGGATCATGTCTGGTAAGCTTTCGGAGGTCTGCGTGGATGCCTTAGGTCTCGGCGCCGTTGTCCAGGTTCGCGCCGTGTGTCGGCTCGGCGGCGACCCCGCGCGCGGACGGCCCAAGGTATCGAGCGCCGCCAGCGGCCCAGAGAATCGGTCGACTTTTCCGCGCGGAGCGAGCTGGCCAGCGAAGAGCCGCCGATCGTGCAGGGTTCCTCCTCCTCCGCTGGCGAGCGAAGAGCCGCCGATCGTGTAGGATTCCTCCTCCTCCTCCTCCTCCTCCTCCTCCTCCTCCTCCTCCGTGCCAGAAACCAACGCAGGCACGAGCTCGCCGTAGGGGGGCTCATCGCCGACGGCGTCGCTGGTCCCCACCTAGGCCCCCCCCGGGATCCAGCGCTGGACCCCCTGCCGGCGCCTCTGGGGTCCGGCGCTGACCCGAGAAGTGCGCGCGGGGGGCTCCGAGAGTTGGTGCTTGTGGAGTCTGTTTTCTGCTCCCCATGCAGACCAGGACGGGTGGTGGTGGCAGGAGAGAGGGGATAGGGGGCCACATGCGAACCCTGCCCCCACCCCCCACGATTTCTGAGGGGGGTAGGGGTAGGGTTCGCATGTGGCCCCCCAGGGGAGCCGGGCGCTGCCAGAGGTGTCCGCGGCCCGAGGTGTGCCCAGGATCTCCTGTGAGGCCCAGGTGGCCCCCAGAGCGCCTCCACGAGGTCAACTTCGATTTGGTTGGTTTGATTCGGCATTGGGTCTGGCGGGCCCGATCCGAACCGATTCCGATGTCCTGACGATCCGGAGCGGCCCGATGCTTGCATGGCCTTGTTGCTCCTCATGGCGCAACCCCTCCGATTCGATGTCGATTCCTTGCCGATGCAGCCCGAGCCGACGCACTCGTCGATCCGACCCGATCTTCCGATTCAATGCTGACTGATCCTGCCCCTCACGAGGTCCAGGGGGCCCCAGGTCGGCGGCGAGCCCGGGGGGAAGTGAGACTGGGCGGGCCTTCTCGGAAGGCTCGGAAGTCCCGAAGTTCCGCCTCCCGGGTTCTAAGATACCAAAACCCTGACTCCTGATCCGCCCTACTTTGGGCGATTTCGAAAGTAGGGCGGAAATTTCCGCCCTACTTTTGAGGCCCCTTTGAGCGTCGATTTCCGCCCTTGAGGCTCCTTTGGCGTCGATTTCCGACACAATTTTAGGTCGGAAAATCATCCAAAGTACGGCGGATCAGGAGCCAGGGCCCCCCTCGCTCGCCGCCGACCAGGGTATCCATGGAGGGGGCGCGGCAGGGGCGCGGGGACTGCGGCGCTGGCGGCACAGCCCCCGGTCGGTCGGCGACGTGCACGGGGCCCGATCGGGAGCCTCGGGGCGCGGGGGTCGCGGCGAACGGGGGTCGGGGGCCAGCCAGCTCCCGCGAAGCCGGGGTTGCACCGACCCGGGCCAGCGCGCAGGATCCTGCAGGATCCTGCAGGGCGCCCTGCAAGTCGGCGGCGAGCGTGGGGGGGGAAGGTGAGAAGGGGCGGGCCTTCTCAGAAGGCTCGGAAGTCCCCCCGCCTTCTGAGGAGGGTTCTGAGCCCTCCCCGAAGACGCAGGGCAATTCTCCGACGGCGCGAGGGCTTCTGAGGAGCCCCCCCCCCTTCTGAGAAGGCCTTCTTCTTCTCACTCCCCCCCCCCAGAGGCGCCACTGAAATTGGTTTTCGGGTCTTAACTCGACTCTCCGGCGGCCGTTCGGGACGATCCGGGCACCCCCGGAACACTCCCGGCGAGGCGCAGCCGCTGGAACGCATCCCGAGGGCGGAAAGCCGCCAGGAAACTACTAAAATGCTTCAAAACTTCGAACCCGAAAGCCTCGAACCCGTTTCTCCCTCGCTCGCCGCCGAACTTCCCCCCCCCCTTCGCCCGCCGCCGAGCAGAGCCCAATCGCCGGGCCAGCAGGTCCCCAGTGCTCCGCGCGGGGGAGACGGGCGAAGTTCGAGGGTTCCCGTGTGGCCCCCGCTGGGGCCTCCGGGAGGGGCTCCCCGTCGCTCGCCTTACCCCTCGTCCGTCGGTCGTCCGTCGTCACAGCCCGTCGTCCTCACAGTCGGTCGTCGTCGTCGTCATCAACGTCGTCGTCCTCGCTCGTCATCGTCGACGTCGTCGTCGTCGTCGGTCTCGTCGTCGTCGTCGTCGGTTGTCGGTCTCGTCGTCGGTCGTCGTCGCTCGTCATCGTCGACGTCGTCGTCGTCGTCGTCGGTCTCGTCGTCGTCGTCGTCGTCGTCGCTCGTCGTCGTCGTCGTCGTCGTCGTCCTCGTCGTCGGTCTCGCCGCTGTTGCCGTCGACCAGCCGTCGTCGGTCGTCGTCGCCTCCGAGCGCGGCGGCGCCCGAGGAGATCAAGCAGCTCGTCATCTCGCCCGCGCCGACGGCGGAGGCGTTCGACCTGGACGGGGCGCTGGGCGGGCTCGTCGGCCTCCGGGAGGCCAGCGCCGCCGCCGCTGCCCCGACGACCGACCGCGACGACGACGACGACGACGACGACGACGACGACGACGACGACGACGACGACGACGACGACGACGAGGCGCTAGGCGGGCTCGTCGGCCGCGCCGCCGCGCAGGGGAGGCAGAGGCCCACAGACCTCCCCGCGCCGGGGCCGTATGCGCCGGCACTGGCGCGCAAGCTGCCCGCGCAGGGCCGCGGGTGAGCGCCCTCGCCTCCCAGGAAGCGTGCCGCGCCGGCGGCTCGCGCAAGCCGCCGGCGCGAGGTCGCCGCGCCACCTCGCGGACGACCCGATTTTGATCGTCGCCCGGGTACTGTCTCCAGTGTTCGGCCTCGGGGGGCCCCCTCGTCGGACCCCGTGGCCGCCAGGGAACGGCCCCAGGGTGAAAAGAGCCTGTCCTGGGCGAAGGTGTCAGGCCGGTGTGGGTCCACGTCACGAAGAAGTCACGACGTCTGGGGTCCTACGACGTCGGCTCGAGGCTTTCGGGCGCTTCTTTGTTCCCTGGAGGTTTCCCCGCCTCGGGATGCTTTCCAGCAGCTGCGTCTCGCACACGGCCCTCTGGGGTGCCCTGATCGCTCCGAACGGCCGCCAGAGGCCCGAGTGTTTGTGGCCCAGACACCACGATCTCAGGAGGAGACGATGCCGATACCGCAGCTGGTCCTGGAGGGCCCTCGTCGCCACGTCCGGATGCTCCTCCAGATTCTGGCCAGCACGCGCCCTGGGAGAGGTCCGGGGGTCCAGAGACGGCCAATGTGGAACGATTTGGCGATCGAACAGTCGCCGATCGTTCAGGGCTGAAGGGTCCGCATGGTTTCAGAAACCAGCGCCGGGTTCGACACGACACGAGCCTGTCGTGCACAGCGTCGATGATCAGCCGAGAGGTCGTGCAGACATGAGCGTGGGCTTCGTCCTGAACGACAGGGCGCAGTCGGCGGCGCGGCGGGCAGAAGGGCATCACAACCTAAATGCGCTCCAGGGTAGCATGAGCAGACTGGAGTGCAAGCTCGGGTTGCTCATTGCGGGCAGTACAGTTCCGCGCTCTCGCTGCCTCAGGCTTCGAGGAGCCGGGAAATCGCCTGAGCAGCCGATCCCGTCGCCGAGGGCGCGGCCCCCGATGTGGGGCACATGTCTTGTGCAGGACGTGCACATCGGCGTCACAGCGGCACACTAATACCATGGGTGCGTCGCCCCCCCAGGGGCGACGCGCGCGCCGACTTACAGTATGAGCTCTGTGGCGGTACGTCGACAGTCTGAAGCAATCAACCCGCGTAATTAGTAAAGACGAGCGACTGTCAAGGATACCATGGCGTCCTTGCTCCTTCGACCCATCCGCAGCGACTCTCGCTGGCCAACCTCGTTCGAAAAAACGTTAACATTTCCCTCCAAGGCCCTTGCATGTTTGACTGTGCTATGTGTGCGTCGCCCCCCCCCGCCCCCCAGGGGCGACGCGCGCGCCGAGACATCTTATTCCGTGGTGGGCCCTGCTTGGCCGCACCGCTCGGAAAGCGATATACTACAAGATGGTTGCACTACATGTTCATGTCGGACGCGCGCCTCCGAGGAGGACACATACACGCTGGTCGTTGAAAGTGGGTACTTCTGGATTCCCAGATCCCAATCTACTTTAGCCGCCTTCCTACTTCAACAGTCGAGCAGTTGTCCCTCATCCCTCCTCTCCAGGGGGCGGGCGGAAGCTCAATCTACTTCAGCGCCTTCCTACTTCATGTTTCTACCCAATTCTTCCTATCGACGGGTGCTGGTATGTCCTTGTGCGTCTCATGCACACACGGTCGCGACTGCCATGCGCACAACTCTTGAGGCCTTCGGCACCACGAAGGGTGAGCGCACCCACCAGCCACAAAAACGCGTGGGCACCCGTTGGTACCGCGTCCGCACCCCCCGCCCCCTCCCCGTCCCTTCCCCTCCCCTTCCCCTTCCCTCCCCTCCTCCTCCTCCTCTCCTCCTCCTCCTCCTCCTCCTCCTCCCCCTCCTCCTCCTCTGGAGGAGGGGGGCGTGGCGTTGCTCGACGTGTGGCCGCAAAGCTTTCTCCAGCAAGACCAAGCGCGCGTTGGCGCGTAGACCCTGCCTGGGTAAGATGAGGGTGGATCGTCGTTGGGGAGTCGGGCTGGGGCGGGGGGATGGGGAAGGAGACATTTCTCCCGCCCTCCGTGGAGCGGCCCTAGGGCACGAGCTGCACCGAGTGGGCCAGTATACATTCTGCGATCGGTGCGGTGTCTTTTCGAGCGAGAGGGGGTGCAAGCTCCTGGGCGCCTGCGTCGGGGCCCCAGCGAACTCCACCGCAGGGTACCGCCTCTCGCTCCTGCGCCGAGGCAGGAATCCTTACGCAGTAAAGGTCTCCCTCGAAGCGGTACCGCGCTCCCTGGTACAGGAGGAGTGTGACGCTTTCTGGGAGTGCCTCATGGACTGAGGCAGGACGGGGCGGGAGGCACCCCGTGGCGGAGTGCCCGCCCATCCTCTTTCCCTTGTGGCGAGCTGGGGCGGGGACCGCCAGGCATCGTTCTTGCAGCAAAAAAAAAAACCTCCTCCTCCTCCTCCTCCTCCTCCTCCTCCTCCTCCTCCTCCTCCTCCTCCTCCTCCTCCTCCTCCTCCTCCTCCTCCTCCCCCACCCTCCCCCTCCTCCCTGCCCGCCCCCTCGTCCCTGCCCGCCCCCCCCTCCACCTCACGTCGGTGGCGAGCGCCGGCCGGTGCCGCGCACGGGCATCGCCCCTGGCAGGGGAGCAGCGCACACGCGCGCATGGCCGCGGCGCTCGGAGGCAAGGACATCTTCATCCTTGGCCTCGGATCGCTGGCTTGGGATAGCGAAAAAGCGCCACGCGGGCCACGCAGATCCCCTCGCGTCGCGAAAAAAGGCGACGGGCCTGGCACCGTTCGGGCGTGCGTGTTCGTCTCTGGCGAGGGCCATCGAGGAGCACCTGGGGTCATCTTGGAAGAACAACGCGCACGAAACCGAACGATGCACGGGGAATGGACGTCCAAGCGATGGCAAAGGCTTCGGATTGCGAGAAGTCACCACGCGGGCAACCGCACCCCCTCGCGTCGTGCAGCAACATGCGACAGGAGGTTTGTGGCCTCAGGCCTCCAAGGGCCCTTCCCGGGCCACTCGGGACCGTCGAAGGCTGCTCAGGATGAACGGCTGGTCCCCGGGAAGGGGTCCATACCTCCAGGCCCTGATCTCGGATCTCGAAGAAGAGGAAGAAAAATAACGCAATGAACACAATTCTTGTTAGCGTTCCGCGCGGATGTCTTGGATCCGCGCTGGGCCCCCCCAGGCGGCGCCTCCAGCGCTGCCCCTGGCGCGCTCCGCCGTCAGGGAGGGGGTCCAGCGCAGATGCAAAAAATTCGCGCGGCGCGCCAGAATTTTATGTTTATGACGTTTTTTTCTACTTTTAGGATCCGCCGCACGTTGGGCAGATGTTGCAATTGCGTCGGGAATGCACACCGAACGACGCGAAACAGCGGGGCGGAGAGGTCTGCCTCAGAAGAAAGGCCGAGCGGATATGTCCGCGAAGGTCTGGCGGAAACAGCGACGGCGAAGCGGGGCGCAAGTCGGCCCCGAAGGAGCCTGCGCAGCAGGGCGCGGCGGATCCGAAGCTGGGGCCCCCCGGCCCCCTCGAGAGTGAGCGCCAGCAGGAGGCCTGACGCGAGGCGCGGCTGCTGCGGCGCCCCCCCCCCCCCCCCCCCCCTCGGGTTCCTCCGAGCATGGGCCACGCGGCGGCCAGCCTGACCTGCGCGGGCTGGCGTGCGCGAGGCGGCTCCCTCGGGAGGAGTGTTTCGCTTCCCTGCTCGAGCGCGACTGCTCTTCGGACCCAGCCTCTCCACCAGGGACCCAGAGCCCCGACGTCGTGTTTCTCTCCTGGCGCGGCCCCCCAGAGTCGGGTCGGGCGAAAGGGGGGGTTTGGGAAAGGGGGGGTTACGAAATTTGCTGCATGCAGCTGGTTTCGGCCCGACCGAGGGGCCCATTCCTCGATACATGGGCGCCTCCGGCGCCGGGAGGCGCCGGGAAAATCAGCTACGTGAGCTGATTCTCAAACCCCCCCTTTGCTATCCCCCCCTTTCGCCCGACCCGACAGAGGTGCGGACCCCTTCCCCGGGACCAGTTCTTCATCCTGAGTCGTTTTTTGAGGGTCCCGAGGTCCGGGACGGGCCTCCCATAGGCCGAAAGTAGCGGAAAACCTCCCGTCGTGATTTTTGCATTGCCCGAGGGGGTCTCCAGTGAGGGCCCCGAGAGGCCGAAATTAGCGAGAACCTTCCCGTCACTGCTTTTCCTGACTCGGAGGGGGTCTGGGCCTGTCGTTTCCCCCGGGAGGCGGCGGAGGCGCCAGTGCAAGGCCGTCGGGGTCGCCACGAGCGCTCGTCGCCGTTGCGAGCCAAGCCTCCGAGGCCCAGAGGTTGACACCAGCATCCACGTCGGCGGTGTGCCACCACCGAGCGAAGAGGATCCCGATCTCGGTGAATGGTGGCGATACAGGGCTCTCGAAGGAGAACAACAGCATAGACATAAACGTTTCGCGCTCCGCGCGGATTTCTTGGATCTGCGCTGGGCCCCCGCGGGCGGCGCCTCCGGCGCCGCCCCTGGCGCGCTCCGCGCGCCAGGGAGGGTGGCCCAGCGCGGATCCAAGAAGTCCGCGCGGCGCGCGAAAAGTTATGTTTATGTCATTTGTTTCCCAACCATCATGTGGTGTTGGGTTCTCGTTTGGGAGAGACAGCGCTCCGCGTCACTCCTGCCGCTGCCCCCTCCCCCACCTCCCATCCGTGCCTCTCCTCCCATCCCTGCCTCTGTTCTCCGCATGCCCATTTCGGCACACCCCTCACACGGCTCGTGGCCCCAAAGGGAGCTCCACCGAAAGCCCCAGTGATTGTGGCAGGGTCTGCATGGCGGCGCCGCCCCATTTCGGCACACCCCTCACACGGTTCGTGGCCTCATAGGGAGCCCTACCGAAGGCCCCAGTGGCACGAGTCCGCATGGCGCCGCCGCCCCATTTCGGGACACCCCTCACACGGTTCGTGGCCCCATAGGGAGCTCCACCGAAGGCCCCAGTGGCAGGGTCCGCATGGCGCCGCCGCTCCATTTCGGCACACCCCTCACACGTTTCGTTGTTCCATAGGGAGCTCCACCGAAGGCCCCTGTGACACAGTCCACATGCGTCCCCCCACCCACTTCGGCACACCCCTCACACGTTTCGTGGCCCTATAGGGAGATCCACCGAAGATGAGATTCACAACTGTGTTACTCACAACTTCATGTGGTTGGGTTCTTCGAGAGGTTAATTATTCTAGGCTCCTCGAGTGGCCGAAGGGTTACCACCAGCATCAAAGAGCTACACATGCCGGCGCCTACAGCAAGCAGCAACGCAATCGTGGCGAGGCCCGATCTCGTTTCGGCCCGAATCTTTGGCCGGAGTTTCGGCCACGCTCGCAGGACAGTCTTGCGACGAACACGAGTCGTGTCTGTTGTCGCTGTCCGCTCCCACCTGCTCCTATCAACAAAAACACACACTCACACTCACACTTTTACAATCACACTCACAATCACACACACGCACACACACACTCACAATCACTCACACACACACACGCACACACACGCAAACGCACACGCACACGCACACGCACGCACGCACGCACGCACGCAAAGGCACACACACCAAAGATCGATCAATGCCATCGCCGCCGCGGCGCGGCTGCGCGAGGAGGGCCTACTGCAGCCCCCGAGTCCCAGACTTCCGGGTGGCAGCCCTGCTGGCCACGATCGTTTCCATTTACTCGCGTTGTGACAAAAACACGACGGGAGGTTTTTCGCTATTGCCGGCCTCCAGGGGCCCTCACTGGGTTTCGGGACCGTCAAAAAACGATTCGGGGTGAAAACCTGGTCCCGGGGAAGGGGTCGATACCTCTGAGGGTCGACGTCGTGAAAGAAGCACGACGTCGGTGGTTTGGGTGGGTGGCCGAATGATGACCACCAACACCAAAAAGCGATACATGCCGGCGCCTACAGCAAGCAGCAACGCAATCGTGGCGAGGCCCGATCTCGTTTCGGCCCGAATTTTTGGCCGGAGTTTCGGCCACGCTCGCAGGACAATCTTACGACGAACACGAGTCGTGTCTGTTGTCGCTGTCCGCTCCCACCTGCTCCTATCAACAAAAGCACACCAACGAGCGATCCATGCCCTCGCCTTCACCTCGACGGTTGCCCGTGGCAGACCAGGCCCGCCAGCTCGAGCACCACCCTGCAAGCATAGCGCAGCTTGGGGGGGAGCCGCGGCGCGGACGCGCGAGGAGGGCCGCTACTTGGCATCGCTCGGACGTGTATATTTTTCCTTCGGCGAGGACCATCGAGGAGCATCCTTGATCATGTGGCGAAAAAACCACGCACGGAACCGAAAAAATTAGCCTGGCGAAGGACCCAACCATATGCAGCTGCGAGTACCGCACGGATATGACACGAAGGAGGGGGCACGCAAACTAGGCCCCTCTTCTCATAGGCACCGCGCCACTGGGGCCTTCGGTGGAGCTCCCTATGGGGCCACGAAACGTGTGAAGGGTGTGCCGAAATGGGTGGTGGGGAGGCATGCGGACCCTGCCACTGGGGCCTTCGGTGGAGCTCCCTATGGGGCCACGAAACGTGTGAGGGGTGTGCCGAAATGGGTGGTGGGGAGGCATGCGAACGCAGCCACTGGGGCCTTCGGTGGAGCTCCCTATGGGGCCACGAAACGTGTGAGGGGTGTGCCGAAATGGGTGGTGGGGAGCCACTGGGGCCTTCGGTGGAGCTCCCTATGGGGCCACGAAACGTATGAGGGGTGTGCCGAAATGGGTGGTGGGGACGCATGCGAACGCAACCACTGGGGCCCCTTCGGTGGAGCTCCCTATGGGGCCACGAAACGTGTGAGGGGTGGGCCGAAATGGGCGAGGGGCGGCATGCCAACTCTGCCACTGGGGCCTTCGGTGGAGCTCATTATGGGGCCACGAAACGTGTCAAGGGTGTGTCGACATGGGTGGCGCGGACGCATGCGAACCCTGCCACTGGGGCCGTCGGTGGAACTCCCAATGGGGCCACGAAACGTGTGAGGGGTGTGCAAAAGTGGGTGGGGGCGGCATGCGAACCCTGCCACGGGGGCCTTCGGTAGAGCACCCTATGGGGCCACGAAATGCGTGAGGGGTGTGCCAAAGTGGGGTGGGGGCGGCATGCGAACCCTGCCACTGGGGCCGTCGGTGGAGCTCCCTATGGGGCCACGAAACGTGTGAGGGGTGTGCCAAAGTGGGGTGGGGGCGGCATGCGAACCCTGCCACTGGGGCCTTCGGTGGAGCTCCCTATGGGGCCACGAAAC